AAGGGATCGATTCCAATTGTATGAGTTCTGCCGAACAAAAATCAAACAAATCCATCCTCGAATGTTTCACAGCATGTCACAATTGCTATTGTTTTCCAATAGTGTCGATTCGCTCTGGATGGATTATAATAATGAAATCTGCTTTGGATATTTTTGCTGGCTTCTTATATTACCTTTCTCATATCGAAATACCTTTTGCAGTTACAGTTGGAAGCATCATAGGAGCGAGCAGTATCCAAGGAAGCATAGGTGCAACACAACCATTCTCTTGCCACATCATATCAACAGACTGAAACTCAGCGATAGAGACCTGCCGCCATCTAACACACAAATAAGTCTCAGAAGCTTTAGGAGCAGACATAAAGCTGAACAGCCTACGTCTAATCTCGCCCCCATAGCTGCTTCATTATGTCATAGAGGCTATGGCGCGAACTTTTGGTCAACTTATTAATAATAAATACGTGCTGAAAGGAAGCCGAAATGCCTCAAGGTGATTGGCTCCTCAAAGTCGTGCTCCAACAAAATATCTTGTTTGCAACGCTACTGATTACGAATAATATAATAAGAATAAAATTCTCCAGCTATCTTGGAGGCTAGCTGGTAAGTGTCATAAATTGACGCGAGTTCGTTAGGTCTGCACTCAAGTAATTCTGATCTTAGAATGGCGACAAAATTTACAGACTATGATAAGTTCACCCTTGGACATTTCATTGGATATAAGTAGCAGGACAATACGACACGGTTACTTGATTAATTAATTAATTGGCTACACTTAGGAGGGGCTCTGATTGTCATTAGACTATCGATACTGATTATTGACCTCCTCAGAGATGCTCTTTTCATCGACCTCAATTATTTGATAATACACAGTATCGCACTAATAGCAGCGGAGTGAACTGAAAATTTGCTAATCTCTATTTTTTCACCAATTGTTTCACGCCAGACGCTGCTAGACTATTACGGCTTCAGCCAGCTAGCCAAATTTGAAAATAGGGCTCTTCGCGTGTCGCTAGATATACCTCTTATATAACCATTATAGGCGACATCATACAAATTCTTAACGATACGGCATATTTCTGTCAACCGGCAAAGCCATATTATAACATATATAACACGCTTTATAATATTCACCTTTATCATTGTTATTGTCATACCTTCTACCTGAAGAACAGCGCTTGTTCTGCCTTCAGAGAAGAAGTTTTTTGCGATACAGCTATAATTACCGGCATCGCTAACAAGCGTCTTTCGTATAATTAACACTGAGGTATCAATATCATGAGTTGTTCGAATTCGTTCGTCAGCGAAACCCAGAAGCACGTTGCCGTTACGTGTCCATGAAAATGTTACATCGTGTCCTCGAATAAGGCCGCACGTAAAACGCGCAGGGTCTCCTGATCTTACCAGTTTTGAAGGCATCGGCTCAAGCTCAATGTCTAGCTCAGTACAAAGAAAAAGTTCAAAGATAATATGAATATTTACCATGTTTTTAACTCACCCAATTATGCGAATGTTTCAATTATTTCGAATACGAAGCTTTTGATAGTAGGGTTTTCTGATCGTATTGTAATACCGAGCTCGTCGGTTAGTGTTTTGGCTTTACCTCTTGCGGATACTTCAATGCTACATTGTAAGAGCAATCGCAGAAACACTATAACGAACGGTCTTGTAAAACACATATTAGGTAGACACATTATCTTTCGAATTCTCCCAAAACTGGTCGACGCTTAACACTCGTCTGAATTCTAGTGTGCTTATGTCCTTATAGATTTTGATGCTTGAGAAACGCTTTGAAGTTACTCTGCCTCCCAGTGCAATGCCCTTGAAAGCGTGGCTAAGGCGCCAAATTTCGATTTGAGATCCAACTCTTCAGCCAGGGCATGACAGCGCGGATTACATAGCCGACTACCAGCACAGACGAAAATTTTTGCACTATGTACAAACAATTTTTCCTGGATTTTCCCATTATAATTATAGGCGTCATAAAGCATCATTCATACCTAGTGCCTAACAATTCTGTTTCTAAATGACAAGCTTTTTTAGCTATATATTTTCTATTATATATATATATATATATATCATAAAGTCTTTTTATGTACTTGCATGTTTATATTAATATCATATTATTGCTACGAGAGTCGTGTGAGCATATTTTAATCCGTATTACTATATCACCGCAAAGAATTGAATGCCGTTTAGTTAACAGTGACTGGTGATTGACTCTGAGATTCCTGCCTCTGAGATTGAGAGGCAGTCGACAAAGTCCTTACAGTTTGTTTGAGACTTAATAATACTAATACTGCTATTTCTGTTTACAATAGCGATTGTACAGAAACAGTATGATCAATCTCGGTCCAAGAATGCAACTCAAATTCACTTGAACGTCTATAATAATGAAAGATTCTGTAGAGCTCAATTATTTGATTAACATTTCGTTTCGATAATTATAGAATGCTCAAAATGTATATACCTATTTGAACGTGTCGATCAAATGAACTTTGTAGAATGTGATAAAACGGCTAGTTCAAATGCTTAAAATCCCAGTTGTCATCTAATTAACCTATAGAGCAAGGTGAAAGTACTATTTAATTTTTATAAACTCATGTTTAAACTTGATATCTGTCAAGATTTGCAATTTTTTTTTAATTTGTGTATCAAACATTTGCTAGCCCACTCACGAATCGTGTCTCATCTTCATTCTCAGCTCGCGAGGCACTCGAAGAAAAGTTTTTCGCAATGCAATTGTAGTTATCTGCGTGTCCGGATATGTCGATATCATTTACGATACAAATACACAGAGTGTGAAATTTCGCCACTTTTCGTTCATAAGAATGTTACATTGTCACCTCGAAGCGTCCATCGATTGAATCTTACGATTTCACCAAATTTGACTGTTTGTAACTAAATTGTCTTCAATTCGATAAGAGACTACGGGCTTGCGTTAGCTTGTTGTTACCAATGTTCTAAAGATGAATTATTGATCTTAGATATGAGATGCTGATGAGATATAATAATGGGGTGTTGCAATGCAAAGTATCTAAAAGTATCAGAATTGGCCATCTTTTGATTCAGCCGATGCCAGATTAGCAAAAAACAGTACCAGACAGAATTGCATAATTCTCCTGCAGTGAACATCACAGCATTCGGACATGCACACAGCCCGTCTTTACATAAACTGCAATAGGAACATTGCAGATCAAGAGACGCTACGGAGTAGAGAGTGAAGTGAGGTTACGAAGTTTCGCTAACAGAAGGGTACTACGAACAGGCACGAGGCTACGGCGCCACAACTTAAATAAGCAGTCCGACACGATATGAAGGATACAACATGAACCTCGTTAAAGCGCGTAACATACGGAAGTTTCTTAAGTAAATTAATTAAATCTACGGCCCTAAGCTATCTACGCAGATCATTAGAATTGACACGGTAGTATTAATCTACGTGTCCGAGCTATGTGTCGGTCTAGATTGTCTAAGAATGATGGTGATCGCTAAGTCGATAGTGGATAACAAACAAAAACTTCACCTGATGTCTACAGTACAGATCGGACATCTTTGGACTAAGAAGGTAAGGTTCTGACTCGTATCTAATCGCACTCCTCAGATAAACAGTTGTGAAAATATCACTTGTACGATATACTTGTACGGTACGGTGCTCGTAAGTATTTTAGTAGTATAAAAAATACAAAAATTATACTGGAACTATGAAATGCTCGTGATTTCACAGTGCTGTGTATTTTAGTAGCATTCTGGAGAAACTCTTTCATTGATTACGTACTTTTATACTGAAGCAAACATTCGTCAAGTTCACTATGTGCAGTTGTGTATAAGAAGTACGTATTCTAAATTCGAATTAATATAGCTTCCGCGAGATAGAGTTATCACTAGCCTTCTACCCTTAAGGTGGCACTTGTCCGATCTTCGGATAGGCGATTTTTAGCAATGCAGATGTACAGCCCGGCGTCACCTGCTGTGACCTTTCGTACAGTCAATACTGTACTTTCAGGTCCACTTAAAATATGGAATTTCGAATTGGCGTTTGTTATGAGATTGTTGTTTTGTGTCCAAGAAAATGTGACGTCCTCTCCAGTTGACAGACCGCACGTAAAGCGAACCGTACGACCTGCTGTGGCAGTCACGTCTAGCATGCGATCCAAACGGATCATATCTACGATAGAACAAAAATTCACACCCACTCAGACACATTTACCTCCTCCTATATATCTAATCAGTGAGAATGAGAATCAAACCGAAACATTCTTCCAGTGATCTATTCCAATGTCATCTATGCTTGGAGTTTGGAGCCGTTAGGATTAGTATGCTATTTGTTTAAGGAAATTTTCAACTCGAGGGATAATTTGGATCGGAAACATTGTTTAGTATTATGTTGAAACGTATCATAGTTTTATGCTCAAAAAAGCCGAGTAGACTTTATAACGGATATGCTGCATAATTCAGTTTATGCACGACAGAACCTACGTAGTACGTGGAAAGTTCGCAGCGTAAATAGGAGAATCTGCTTGTAAAACGTGAGTGAATTAACCGAACGCAACATTCACTCACCAACTGAAAAAGTAGCACATACGTTGTATCCAATTAGCAGAACGATCGGCGACAACACACATGTTTCAGTCCGCATTGTTGGCGATACGGACTCACCCCCACTCAGATGATCTACGGGAGCAACTGGCTACGCAAGCTTCCTGAAATTCTATTGGTAGTGTTTAACAGTCTAGCTAGCATGATTGCATCAGTAGGGGAGCGAGGCTATGGCGGGATAGTAACACCCAGTAGGTGTACTGTATAGCATACAATGAATAAACGGCTTTGATCAAACTCATCAATTACAAATCGATGGAATAGACTTTGAAATTTATTTCCATAAATAAATAATGACAATTTTTGTACATGTGATTAGGAAAACCGCCGCCAAAAATCCTAATAGACCTTAAGTGAAACAAAAAACATTTTTGTATTAGTGTTTAAAAGCACGCCTCCGAAAACCCCGGTAAAAGTCGATTAGTAACAGGATTCCATCACTGAATTTTCCGGAAGCCCCAGAATTTTGACTGGTGGCAAACAAAAATATCGTATTTAAAGGGTCCGCTTTAAAACCCTATGCCGTGTTTAGTTTTGGCTAGCTTACTAAAATCGTCGTCAGCATTCGCAAAATGCTACCTTTCACTAAACAGTTATATGCTGGTAGTGTTTTCTTTCGAACTAGCTTACTTGATTAACGCAACTAAATGTTAAGCCGACACTGACCCATTAAATTCATTAATGTCAAAGGCCATAAAGCCTATTGCCATCGAATCCTAAGCCGGATATAAATCCGGCCGGATAAATAAGTTTAGAAAACAGCGTTTATCAAGTAAGATCTTATGGAAATAAGGGTTGGCAGGGACTAAATCGACTTTTTAGAACAAGTGATCACCTTCAACAAAGACTCGTCTTTCCACTCGTTCTTCAGCCACTCTGTTACTACCCAAACAGGCATACATCCCCGAATCCTGACTGGACACTTTACTAACACTTAATATTGAGTTTTCGTCTGTAGGCACGATCGTTATTTTGTCCCCTGGCTTTAGCATGCGGCCATCCTTGAACCAGGAGAATGAGACGTCCTTTCCTTCAAGTAAGGTGCACGTGAGCACAAGAGATCTGCCTGATTTCACCCGATGCAGGCCTTGGATGGTTAGTTGAACCATTTCTGGATGGAGGAGAGTTACAGATTCTTATACATGGGTGCGTGATTTGTTTGACGCCTCAAATATACGAAATTTTATATTAGAAAAAATAGTATTACGACAGTATTACAACGATTTCATGTATTTACAGTGGCTCACCCGATGATGCTGCGAAGAGTCCATGGAGAAATGTTGAGCAAATCAACAAAATCACTATGAACACCATATTCCGAGGGACTACCGTATGAAGATACATGACTCGTTAAAATATCGAACCGCGTCTAGAGACGATTGTATGCCCTGGGCACGCAGCTTAACAGTGTCTGATTGTTACCCTACAAAGGGATGCCATTTAACAGGCTAACTCAGATCTACGTTCTCTTCAGTCGATGGGAACGAGGCTAGCGCGCGCAGATTCATCATTTTCTGAATATTGTAAGCACTTTTAATGTAACTTTTAAATGTAATTTGTTACTTTTAATGTAACAAATCCTGAACATTTTCGCCTATTTTTTGTTTATTTGTTCAATACAGTCAGAACGTACTTCAGATGGACGAAACTAGCCATTATACTTCGCTTATACTTAAAATACCTTATTGCAAAGGTTCTGTCTCTCTCGGTCTGTCAAAATTACGAAAGCTTTTGCAATATATAAAACCTTCGAATACAGTCGTGGTGCGACGATGCAAAATTACAGCTACAGAATGATATTGCATCGCAAAGTGGTGGGTAACAATTGCATAGACGGTGAGATTTTATACTATATGTAATTCAATAGATAAATGTCAGGCCAGTTTCAAGTCTTTTTGATAATCATAGAATTATAATAAATTAGGATTTTAATCAAAAGCTTAGTACTGTTTTGCTTAGATTAACGGGTTCTTTTGTGCATGAAAACACAGCAATTCTTTTTTTGTTTTTAATAAGATGTTTCTTTTTCTTTTTGTAACACCTAAATAGTGCCACTAGCCTTCAACCCTTAACGTAGCACTCGAGCGATCCTCGAATAAGCGATTTTTAGCTATGCAGGTGTATAAGCCGGCGTCCTTGATTGTTGTTTTACGTACAGTTAACACTGCACTATCCGCTCCGCTTAGGATCTCAAATTTTTCCGAGTTTTTCGATACGACATTACTGTTGTGCGTCCACGTGAACTGTACATCTTTTCCAGCTGATAGTCCGCATGTAAAGCGGGCTGTTCGACCTGCTCTGGCTGTTACATCCTGCATACGGTCTAGACGAACCAACTCTACAGTTGACACATTCATCACTCAATTAGATTCATCACTGAATCGTATTACGCAGAATTAACTGCATGTAAATAATGTCCAATTTGTACCTCAGCCTTTCCTCTCCAATATAAAATGGCCTGGCATTTTTGGTCGACTATGAAAAAACAACCAACTCATATAACGTAGAGATAAAGTCTTGGTACTAAACTTTCATGTAAATATTGACTTACCAATTGTTACAGAAGGGCAGATATTGTATCCACAGAGCACAATAGCAACAACTAACGACACCAAGTGCATGTCCCACATTATGAGCCACATATACAACAGCCATGCGAACGTTGTAGAGTGAACTGTTAACACAAGCTTCTTGTACGGCTTGGTTCTCGGTTTGGATAGCCCGAGCCTCGTTCACACATTGCTCGTAATGCGGCCGAGGCTATGGCGCCACATTGCAATTTAAGTAATAGTGAATCATCTTAGCGCAATATTTTCAAGAAAACGATGTACTGCAATATCTTAGGACGGTAATTATGTCGTAGACACTGAAAAATTTACACATGTTTATCAAATTTCAACAACGTAGACATTATCCCTCCCGTGCTATTATAATTATAGACTGATATTAAAAAAGCGACAGATTGCTCAGCCCGCTGAAATCGATGACTTTGGTAGTACAGGATACTTACATGCATTCTCTACATAAATAAGCGCAGCATATTACCAGTGGAGTACGATTACATACTTGTCGTAATTGGGCGATATTGAACTTACCGGTTAAGTTTATTAAGTTATAGAATATCTTAATGCTTAATTATCTGTGCGTTCTCCCAGCAACCCTTATATGCAAGATGTGAACGGGTACTCGCTAATAGTTTACTGATCGTTTGTTAGATACTTAATCCATAGGAATTCTAGTTCTTTAAATACCGACCTTTGAATATTCAATGGCAAACTTAAACTTCACAAGGTATTGGGTAGCGATAGTAACTTATACAATTGAATCCGTTGGGAATAACATTAAAATTTAGAATTCATACTTGTTTACAATAGCACTAAAGCTACGTTTTAAGCAACAGTTTGCTTTTCTACTATAAATTCAATTCCATTATAGGCAATAACTCTTAACGTTTTTTCGTAACGTCTTAATTTTAATGTGTACGGTTATGGAGACGTAAAGAAGTCGTAGACAAATGCGGTAATAAGTCAATATACAAAGTGCTATAACGAAAACCAAAGAGTGGTACCTTTGAAAGTAATATTTTTTTCAGATCGTTCGTCGCACAAGTCTCTAGTCCTGGTTAGATATATGGCTGATGTCCAATCTCGAGCTTCAGCCTGTGTGATCTCGCAGGCCTTATTAGACGGCCATCTACGAGCCAACAGAATGAAACATACTTCCATTCGAGGGAAGTGCAAGTACGCCTAAGAGATCTGCCTAATTTCAGACTTAATACTTTGATGAATGGTTGCTAAAGGAGAGTTATCACAGTGCTTCGCGTATCCACATCGTACCCTTATGCTCAATAAGCATTTGACTACATTTCTGCAGCATATATATCCAACTCCATATAAATTGGAACCGTTGATTAAAAAACCTTTACCAATCTACTTTCCGATACCGCAACTTATCTCAGGTTAAACCACCAAGTCACAACATACACAGCCTTCCAAAAAATTAGAATCTGAGGCATCGTGCGCATCACTAATGCGGATCGACCGATACCCAGAACGAGATGCATCGTAGACTAATTCTACGGCGCATCTCGTTCTGTAATAGCATAAATTAAAATGAACGCCAATAAAATTGTGTTCTTACTGCTGTGACGGGTCAGTGACGGCAACGAGGCCAGCGCACGGAATTTAGTTTTACCACGATAATTGCTAAGTGTTGTGAGTAAACTGCCGTCGAAACATTCCTACTCTCATACTCCTACGCATAAAAGCTATGTACTAAACGCAACAATGGGTCCTAAACAAATCCGTAAAATATGTTTGTATCGCTATAGTAGCATATTGTAATTATGACGAAACTCGTCGCGAAGGTAGTCGGAACTAGTCTAAGCGTGAAAGGGAATTAACAGAGTTTTTCGGCGTTTAAAATCAATTACATTTTTAATACTCTTTGACGATTATCATATATATAAGCAGATAGTTTTTTGACTTTAAAATGTCAGATAACTTTTTTACATTAATACTTAAAATTTTGTTAACAACAAAGCATTACCGTTTTTTTAGCCCATTAATTAATCTAGGATTAAAATCTGGAATTAATTTATCTGTAGAAATGCTTAATTAGTGATCTAAAAAAACAGTAATGCTTTGTTTTTAATAAAATTTTAAGTATTAGCATAGAGAAGTTACCTGACACTTTTGTATAGACAAAAAGCCACAGAAATACTTTCAGTTACCGTTTACATGAGCTGCCAGTCCACATCTCATTTATGTGTATAGTGATGCAACGAAATGAGCACCTAATTAGAACGACGCAATACGTATTATTAATGTATCAATGTGGCAAACACCGGGATCTGTTTAAATTTTAGTTTTCAGAATTTCAGTATTGCTCAATGTAACGTATACTCGAAAAATTATGTATTTTCACCTTCAATTGAAACCATTTGCTCCATTCTTTGTTCAGCGATTCCGTTACTTCCTAAACAGGCGAATGTGCCTGAATCCTGGCTCGATACCTGGTTTATGCTCAACATTGAGCTTTCGCCAGTGGCAAAAATGACCACTCGGTTCCCTGATTTTAGCTGGCGTCCATCTTTAAACCAAGAAAACATGATGTCCTTTCCCTCAAGGGCTGTGCACGTTAGCACAAGCGATCTGCCAGACTTGACTCTATGCAAGCCCTGAAGGTTGAGTAGAATGGATTCTCCTAATAGATAAACCACAGAAGCTTTTAATAATTCAACCGGATTCATTTATTGTACATTGCTTGCACCATGAGCAGTTCTGTCGTGAGCCGAAAGTAAAGAAACCTGCTCTTACCCGATACGGCGAAGGACGATGAGTACATCCAAATGAATCCGTACACAAGGTTCCAGTAGGGCACATAAGGGCACATATTGTTGAAATAAAGTACGTTGTCGAGAAATTACAACCAACAGCACACATAGCCATGTACGTACCCTATCGCAACTGGCAAAATGCACTCGATAAAGTGGAACCGATAGATTCATGCGTACATAGCCTTGTTTCCAAACTTCTTAACGGGGTAACAAGGCTAACCCGCCAAATTCGTATGGCTTTAAAGCAGACTACACGTTCACAGCCCAAAAACTTGAAGAAAAAAGAGAACACCTGTATCTTAACAGCGAAAGTTACTAGTATAAACCACAAGCCCATATATGTACAGTGTATTCTGATCGATTTATGCTGTAGATCGCTAAGCTCTAAGCTGTGTCAGCTCGCAGAGAAAGCCACGACCGTTTATCGAATAAAATGATTTGTGAAAAATGAAACGCAATTCATTAACTGTGTAAAGTTCTCAGCTTTAAATGAAGCTACCTTTGATACCGATCTGCCGATGAATATGTGGCATAATACGCAACATATGTTTTTCAAATCTTTGTGCAATTTCCTTAAAATTATCAACTAACGCTAGCAAGTCTGTAATCGATGCCAATAAATAGAACTTGTTTCGTTATTTTTTCAGTTAAATCATTTTTCATCGAAGAAAGCGTCTTCTAATACGCTGTTAAATTTAGCATTAGATTTACTATATAAAAAAAGGATAGCATTATTATGTATTAGAGCGTCATGATTTGACTTTTCTCTTTGGTTAAGGTGCTAAAATAAACTACTTAGTTTACTGAAAATATTCCAGTAAGCGTCTAGATAAAATGGACCTCCAATACGCAATTTGATTTCGCTTGCCGTAGGGTCGCTTCTTTTGTCTCTAAGGAAAAGCAAATAATTTGAAGCGTCACACCACAAATTATTGACAGAACTGTTTAATTTTAGTTTTAAGTAAATGTTATTGATTTTA